GCTGAGGTCTAACGTGGCAGCTCGCTACAAAACAATACTCTGTTGCCTCGAGCTAAGATTCTCCCAAGACGATAATATCCCGAGCTAAAGACACTTCAGGTTAAGCTCGTCAGCTTCCTAAGAACGAGCTCATTCCTAAGCCGCCTCGAAGACCTGCCTCAGGTAGGGGCACCTCGACACATTACCAGGTAGCTTGGCACAAGGTAGCTCGTTACAGAGCAACTCGGCGTATCACAAGAAGATTTCCTGCCTAACAACCGTACCCGCCAGATCTGGACTACACCCACGTCTTTCGTCAGGCAGCGTCGTGCCTGCCAACCCTGTAGGATCTCTTGTGACAGGGCCGTACTCTGCAACGGTTACTTGCGCCCACCAGCTCAGCCCTGGCAATAACGACCACAACAGAGAATCAGAGGCGGTTGTACCTGACCTGACAGGACATCAAATATATAAGGGCTCCGACCCCCAAGAGCAAAGGTAATTGCGCATCTTCACTCTTAGCCCTTATTTCTCTACAACTCTCTCTCTCTCTCTCTCTCTCTCTCTCTCTCTCAGTTCTCAGCTTTCAAGCCAGCTTCACTAACTTGACCGTCGGAGTATCCCCACCGGGAGACCTCTCCGGGAATCCTTCACCATCTCCTTCTTAGGTATCTCGTCCGACGCCAGCTAGGAGCGCAACCACTTCCAGCTAGGAGTGAATAGGTTGCACATCATCAGGAAGGTTTGCAAAGAGTAAATCTTTTACTAGAATGAAAGCATTAATCACTCTCTAGAAAAATAATTGATATCATGGAGGAATAGAAAGTTTCAAAATTTTATATAAGCAAAACTTGAGATCATAGGAAATATTTGAAGGGAATGTTTTTTATTCTTCTTATATTCTTCTTTTACTGTATATTTACTTGACTTATGACTAGTCCAAACCCAGGAAATTTCATTATTTGAAGGAAAGATAGATGTTCTCAAAGTTTTTGAAGCTTCCTCAATTGAGTTAAGGAACCTGATGCACATAAAAAGAAGAATCCTCATTCACTAGATAACCACATTCTGAGGCAAGCTCGGTGATCTTTGGGCAAATAGATTTCCAGTAGATAGAACTTGAGGAAGGCATTGAATAGGGTATGAGGCTCTGATGTTTGAGGTGTTTGGATTTCTAAATCTGACCCCATAACTTATGTTGTTCATTCAGGTATGTCCATACAACTTTTTCGAGGATGGCATGATTTACTAGATTTAAGTTCTTAAAACCTAATCCTCTAAAGGCTTTGGGTAAGGTAAGTGTTTGCCAAGAACACCAACGGTAAGGATGTTTCTGTGAATTAGAAACCCCCCACCAGAAATCTCTAATTATTTTTTCCATGTTATCAATGGTTTTCTAAGGGAACTTTACCAAACTCATGGAGTGGAGAGGAATGGCTTGAAGAACAGACTAAATTAGAATTTTCTTTCCCGCTTGAGTAATTGTAAAGCCCTCAAATTGTTAAGTTTAGACCTGAGGTTTTCTAGTATATAATTCAATTTAGAGTACTTATTTCGGGACCAAAGAAGAGGAAGACCTAGGTATTCAGAATTTTTGTTAAGATGGCTTATTTGAAGTTGTCGTCTGATCATTCATTAATATCTTGGATGAATCATTCATTAATATCTTGGATGAATATTTTTATTGCAATATATACCAGATTTCTCAAAATTGATCAGTTGAACAGAAGTTGATTGGAACTTAAGAAAAAGTTGATTCAGATTGTCTATTTCCTCTCTATGAGCGCGGAGAAATAATATCACATCATCTACAAAAAATAAATGGGAAATTACAGGAGAGGAAGGGGTTAGTAGAATGCCTTGTAATTTCCCTTCCTGTTTCGCATATAAGATTAGGCAGGATAAACCCTCCATAGCTAAGATGAATAAATATGGAGACAAGGGATCTCCTTGATGAATTCCTCTAGAGGGACAAAAATGTCCTTCTAAAGTACCATTTATTAGGACCGAAAAAGAGTGTAGAAATACACTCTTTTATCACCTGATAAAAGTCTTCTGAAAACCCAAGGAGAGATAAGATTTTTAGGAGAAATCTCCACTCTAGGCGATCATAGGCTTTGGACATGTCTAACTTTAGTGCAATGTAGCCTATACTTCAATTTTTGTATTTTATGTAGTGGAGCTTCTCCTGAGTAATAATAGAATTGTCAGACATTCGATGACTTGGGACAAACGCTACCTGATTTGGGGCAATACACTTATCTAAAAGAGTACGGAGCCTAGAAACTATCAGCTTAGAAATTACTTTGTAAATGACATTACATAAACTAATAGGACAGTAGTCTTGAACTTTTGTACAATCCACTTTCTTAGGAATAAGACAGATAAAGGTATAGCCTTCACAGAAGTTTCTTATTTAGACAAAAATTCCCGGACTACTTGTACTATTTTTGGTCCATCATATCCCAACAATCCTTGAAAACGATAGATGACATTCTATCTAGTTCCGGAGATTTCAGACTTCCTATACTAAAAAAGGCTGATTTGACCTCGTCAACTGAAGGAATATTTAGAAGCATATTTTTCTCTTCCTCAGTAATTTCAGGATTAATTACTTATGGTAATTCCTCTATTTCTTGAGGTTCTTGAGACATATAGAGATCTAAGAAGTAATCTATAAAGATATGGGCTATGTCTTCATGGAAAGATTTCCAATTATTCTGATAATCTTTAATGCCATCAATATGATTCCTTTTCCTTCTAAAAAGGGTACTCCTATGAAAAAAAATTGTATTTTGTTACCCAAATGCAACCACATGTTGCGAGATTTTTGTCTCCAATAACTTTCAACTTGCCACATAGTTGTTTCATACTCCTTATACAAGCTATTCAAATTAGGTGAATCATCAGATTGTTTGGCCTGTATGATTTGCGCTTTTAATCTTTTTAATTTTTCTTTTGGCTCGACGAAAGAATTCCTCCTCCAATTGATTAAGTATTTCTTAATCTTATCCAATTTAAGGGTTAGCCTATAGGCTGTATAACCATTGATTTGTAAATTCCACCCCTCTTTCATAACATCTTTACAAGAACTATCAGCTAGCTACATTTCATAGAACCTAAAAGGTTTTGGTAGGTTTAGGATTTGAGGGTTTAGATTTAGGAGTGGATGGTGATATGAACCCCATCTAGAGCCTAAGGATAGAGATGCATTAGGAAAAAGATTTATTCGGTCTGGGGATACCGCAGCTCTATCTAGAGTTCATTGGATATGCCCCTTACTTCTCTTATTTGTCCCGGATATACCTCCTCCTTGTATATTTAATTCTAACATTTGATTAAGGATTAGGTTCCTGTATTGTCTAGAAATGAGAAAGAAAGACACAGATGTAGAAGTAGAAGGGTCTAAGGAATCTAAAGATGTTGCTTCATTAAAATCCCCTATTAATAAATAAGGAAGAGTAACAACTAGTAGCCAATCGTTTAGTTCTACCTAAAATTTATTTCTTTGACTTTTAATAGATGGACCATAGATAAAACCCAAAAGCCAGGAAATAGAATTTGAATGAATTTCTAGGAAGACATACCTTGAATGTGACAAAAAATCTAAAACTTCAATAGTAGCTTTCCAAAGAACCGCTAAACCACCCGCTCACCCTTCAGGGGGAATTATAAGAGTTAGGATAACGTAATTGGTTTGTTAATTTATCTATTTTATCATTAGGGATTTTTGTCTCACTTAAAAGTAAAAAATTTGGATTTAATCTATGGACAAAATCCTTTAGTCCTTGAACTGCCTTGGGCCGCTCGACCCCTCAATAGTTCCAACTCATGATGATCATTGATAAATGTGGGCCTGGTAAGGGCCAACGCCTCCGCCCATAGGAATAAAAAATAAAAGGAAAGTATAGAAAAAATTACACATGCTGAGTGTTGATCTTCAGAATCATGATCAAAGTCACGATACTCTGCATGAGCGATAGGAACAATTCGTTCAATAGGATATGTAGGCCCTAAAGATTATGGCCTATCATAAATTAGAAGAGTTGGGGTGGTATGGTCAATCTCCAGGCCTGACACAAGATCCAAACGTGGCCGTTTCCCTCTAGAAACTGAAGAGGGACATGGTTGATTATCTTATCAAACGGTTGAGAAGGGATTGAGAAGGGGTGGTATGGTCAACCATCCAAATCTTGTTAATTTTTTGTCAACATTTGAATGGTTGATAAAGAAAATTAGATGACATTTAAAGGGTATTTGTGTCTTTTTCAAATGCTACTTAACGGCTAGTTAATAGTAAGTACTAGATTGATACATTTTAAAAATTTGAGTACTGAATTGTCGCATTTTAAAATTTAGGGATCAAAGTGACATTTTTTATGTGCCAAAACGACACATAAAATATCGAAAATAAAGTTCCAAATTATTAATGTGAAGTATAATAGGGTCTAATTGAGTCAGACCCTACCTGCCGATTAATAATTGATTCGGCTCTGGGTCTATATTTTAAAACGGATCAACAATCAGTAGTCGAATTAAGACTGATCCACCCTGTCTCGAACCAGATCCGATATTCTTACCTGCCTTTCTTTGCCTTTCAGGTTCACTGCTAATTATGGGTTTTACCTCCTTGATTTATACTATCTCCAAATTTTACATTCAGCAATGCAAAATTCAGTGCCAATCTCCTTGGTTTATACTATGCATCTCCAACTTTTACATCAGCATTGCAAAATTCAGTGCCAACAATTACTTTTGCCCTGGTTTCAGCTCTGAGGTAACTGAGATGGGCTGGCAAAAGTGATAGGAAGGACATCTCCCTTGGATAATACTATAAATATAAAGAGGATGAAATGTTTTTGACGTGTGGCTGCCATAAACGTGGGCAGGAGATCCGGACTTAATTAATAGCTAAGAAATAGTAAGGATAAAATTCGTCAATTTTCTAAACTTTACGGGTAGTTTAAAAAATTTGCCCTTATCCTTACTCGTCGATCCTAAGAGGATAATATAACCATCTTTTCTCAACAATCACATCCTCTTCTTCTTCTTCTTCGAGGAGAGCAGCCAGAGAGCCACGGGCGTTGTACCAAATGGCGGTATATTTTGCTGGGCGTGGCCCGATTTCTAGCGTCTCTAGTGGAGAGTCTCTTAGTCACTGTTCGCCGGTATGCTCATTAGCCAGAGTCCCCACTCGGGTAACCCTTTGTAAGACAACCACTCCACAGTCCCTCCGTTCATCTTTCTTCTCTTCCCTCCCCAGACAACAACAAAAGACCCAGTTGGTTCGTAGGAGGATGCCACTTTCGGTAGTGATGAGCATCGAAGCGGGGATAGGAGTGATGGGTACGAAGCTTGGGATGATGAGTTACTTCGAGCCGGACGGGAAGGTGGTTCCGGTAACGGTGGTTGGGTTCAGGGAGGGTAACATTGTGACCCAGGTCAAGACAGAGACCACTGATGGCTACAGTGCTGTCCAGGTTGGGTACAGGAGGGTGAGGGATAAGAAGCTTACAAAGCCTGAATTGGGTCATCTCAATAAGGTTGGTACTATTCCCATGAGGCATCTTCAGGAATTCCGACTTACTTCCGTTGATGGGTTTGAGCCAAACCAGCGACTTGACTTGGAGGAAATCTTCAAGGAGGGTGATCTTGTTGATGTTTCCGGAAAATCGATTGGAAAGGGTTTCCAAGGTATGTTTCTATAACTTCTTTATTCCTTGTTTAGTCCGATTCATGTTTCAAACTTCAGTGAACCTGTTAGCCTATATAAGGTATCCACGGTTCCAGAATTCGGATTAACAGAGAAGGAAGAATTTTGGGACGAATTCTTCCCAACTTTCCAATGTTTTAGCAGGTCTTTTGCTTTAAGTGGTAAAATTAACTGTAACTTCAATAGAAACCCCATAATTTCTGATTAGGTTTGAACTTTTTAACTTCAATTTCAGCAAGATTTTATTTTGGGTGGAACTTGTTAGTTGTACATTCATTTCATTAACGCCAAACATTCGCTGTTGATCAGGGCAATAGCTTAAGGAAGCTTTTATTTAAAATTTATTAGGTTATAAATCTTTACTAATGAGCATTAATTCGTGAAATTAGTAATACCTGCAATTGAAATTGCATACTTGTTTAGTTGTACATTCATTTCACTAACCTCAAACATTCTCTGTTCATCAGGGCAATATCTTAAGGAAACTTCAATTTAAAACTTACTAGGTTTTAAATCTTTACTAATGAGGATAGTGTCAGCATCTATTATTAGAGTTATAACAATCTTGTCGAATTTATAGTTGCACATTCAGTTCACAGGCATGAACATCATGATACAGCTTCCTCTCAACCTTACTAAAGTCTTTCTTTTTTCCTATTTGTAATCTAATTTAATCTGATTTTGTTGCAGGTGGAATCAAAAGGCATAATTTCCGTAGGGGGCCAATGACCCATGGTTCCAAGAGCCACCGAGCCTTGGGATCAATTGGTGCTGGGACTACTCCTGGACATGTATATAAAGGTAAGAAGATGCCTGGGAGAATGGGGGGAACCAAAACAAAGATAAGGAAGCTGAAAATCGTCAAGATTGACAGTGAACTTCGGGTACTCATGATAAAGGGGGCTGTTCCGGGTAAACCAGGGAATCTGCTGCGCATTGCACCAGCAAAGATTGTTGGAAAGAACATACCCAAGAACTAACTCCAACATGTACCCTGTATTTTCTTTTGTTTTATTTTGGCTTTTATTTTATAGTTAGTTATGTCAATTTCATTGACCTTGTCTATTGTCTTCCTTTTCCTTTCATTAGCTTGATTTTATTCCTTGTGCCCTTAGGTAAAGAGTGGACTTGCAAGGCAGAAGAACTAGAATCAGTTTCCTCTCTTTTAAGAGCATTGCAAATGTGATTTCTCTTCACATTAGTTTTCTTCATCTTAATGGTAAAATAAGAAAGTCATACAACCCAATGGAATCAGCAAATGCAGGCTATTCTAGTGATTCTAGTGCGTAGCATATCTTCCAGGGATTTGGTTTTGGCATTTCTTAGTTGGTATATGAAAACTGTAAAGAGCAAGCAAGACAAACACTATCTGTCCAAATTGCATCATTGTTAAGGACATCATTGTAGCCATCTGAAATACAAGGGTTCTGATGTAATATTTTGATATACTTTCACTTAACATAATTCATACTTCACCTTTCAGGAAAAAAAAAACATTGTAGCCATTTGTACCCTTTGTTCAAAGGTGCATCAAAAAGTGAAGCTTTGGAATATTGTTCTCTTGTATGAATATCTGCAGTTCATCTTTCGATACTGTTTTATTTTAATCAAGAAGTGATACTTTTAAGCATGACTAAATTCATGAATCAATAAATGGACATGGAGTTGTTTCTTGAATCATCCATGGAATTAGACTTCCCGTACTAGATCTTAAATGTGTCTTTTGGAGAATCTCTTTGTAAGTTGAGTAGTTATTGTTGACAAATGCAGATGCAATTTATTTCTTGATGGTTTGAGTACCCTATGCCTTTTCTTTTTACCAGATTGAATTAGTACCATATTTTGCCACATCTTCTTTCTACATGATACCAAATTCAAACTGTGATTGTACTGTTTATATTCCTATTTTAAATTTTCTTGTTTATTTCTTGACATTCTTATGTTGACTCTTTGTTGAGGAAGATGGTCTTTCGGTGGAGCCTAGAAGGGGCTGTGCCCACTTGGCCATGAGCATGTAATAGAATATTCATTTATGCACTGAATTTACTTCTGCACCAATTTGTGGAAAACTTTCTTCAAACTTGAGAGGAATTTTCTGTTATTCTCCACAGTATACTTTTACAATTCTTTATGGTTTCTTGAATTGGGTACATGTTTGGATTTTTCTGAGTGCAGGGAATATTTATTGCAGTTTTGGGTTCAAGGGAAAAAGATAGCTCCAAAAAGATTCTAAGAGACATCTTGGAGTTTGGCTCAGAAAGATATTTTTTTTTCTTTTTGGGTACAGCTCAGTTTTGGCTTTTTGAAAATTCGTATAAAGGGACATACAGATGGTTTTTGGTATGCATGTTAATCATACTGTACACAATCTTTTTGTACATGAGATTTTGCTTTATCTTAATGAATATACTATATGTTTATCAAAAGAAAAGGATTCTAAAAGACATTCTATGAACCTTTGGTTTGAATTGATTCTGAATTTGTGAATATGAGTAATAATTTAAGACCATATTTAACTTAGGAGAGATCCTATGCCTGCTGTAACTGCTAGGGATGGGTGCATCCTTCTTGTCCACATATAATGCCTTAAAGAAGAAGGGATGTTCTACTCGGGCCAAGTTTTAAGGTGGTGACTTAAAAAGTCTCTCGACCTCCTTGATGAGTCCTGAGATCTCTTGGGGCCGTTGGGTCAACCAAGGTTGTTTTGTAACCATCTTTTAGATATTATCTGGTGTCTTGTTATCATGTGTAACTATATGGTCTTTGTTTACTGAAAATGCGATCTATTGAGCATTACAGCTGACTTCTTTGTGTTAGATCTTTAGTTCTGCATTAAATAGAGTCTTAAAAGTGCAGAGAAAATTGATGTTACTGTTTGAATATTTGCGATCCACATGATGTCATCATCATCTAGGCCTTGTCCTAACTATATGGGGTTGGTTACATGAATCTTGTTTAACCCAAGTCCTTTCCACACTGCCTCTAGCTCTTCTAACCCCTTCCACAACCCGTACACGTGAACAAACCATCTCAATTTGCTTTGTCTCATTTTATCACCTATTGGAGTTACTCATTGCCTCCTAGGTTCCTTCGTTCTACTTCATTTCTAGCTCTGGCCTTTCTACTTCTACTAATCATCCATCTAAACAATCACATTTTTGACAAACTCATTTTTTGGACATGTTTTTTTAACTTTCCAACACTCTGCTTGGTACAAAATAGCTGGCCTACAATTGCTTTATAAAATTTTCCTTTTAGCTAAGGTGGTATTTGCCTATGGCATAAGAGTTCAGGTGCACTTCTCCATTTTTGCCCATCCTGCTCTAATTCTATGGGCAACATCCTCCTCAATCTCTCCTTTGGTATGAATTAGTGAACCAAGGTTGTGGAAAAGGTCATATTGAGTTGAGCCATCTCTTGGTTTCCAATCCCACATGTGCCTGATTTGCACTCCCATTATTATTGAAGTTAGATTGCACATATTCTGTTTTAGCCCTACTTATTTTAAAAACTCGTGTTTCTAATGCAGTTGTCCATAAACCAAATGTGGATTTGGAATCCACATTGTATATCTTTATGTAGTTTGCGTGTCATGTTTTGCAAATTTGGGATTTACAAATAGAAATCTTTAGGTAATCTGCATGTCTTTTTATATTTCTTGTCAGCGAAAACTGCTATAGATAGTAAACTTTGCAGTGGCAAACATTTCCAAACTAACCCCAGATGGCATTTAACCCAGTGAGCTCATTTCATTTTACATGTCATAGAAACAAGCCTTGTTGTTGCTGATAAAAAAAGGTTATCACATTAAATGCAAGTAGGCCCAGATGTCTTGTTTGATATCACAGTAAAACCAACCCCAGATGGTTAGTTTTATTTTACTTTCCCCTCTCTTTTGAAGTTGTATCACGGAATGTTTGATACCACTTCACTTTCCTTGCGTGCATTTTTCTCATTCATGAGATGTCTTGTTAAAATCTCTTCGTTCCCTTGGTCTTTGAATTTCTTCTCTTCATTTCTCCCCCAAAGAACCGAGTAAAGTCCAATTATGATGAGGATTACCCCAATAATCCTGCAAGGCAACAAAGAGAAATATCACAGTAGAACTAAATTGGGTGAACCTTCTAAGCTCCAGAACTGCTACATTGTTATTAAATTGTCTTTGGTACATACCCTCCTGTATATAACTGATCACCAAGTATCAGACATGCCATAATTGCAACTAAAACCGTGGAAACTGGTTGGAAGACAGCAACAAAAATTGGGCCTCCTTTGTCAATACACCACATCTGAAGAGCATACACAACTGCAGTTGCTACAACACCCTAGAGTTGAGGAGAAAAAGAACAGAGTGGTTAGATTAGTCATCAAACTTCATATATTACATGCAAAGTTGATTAACTAAGATTTGGGTCACAAGTTCAGGGAATTACAGCATACAGGACGGTTAAAAGCTCCTCTCCAAAGTGGATTTTCCAGTGTTCTCCATCTGTTTCTGCAAAGGCTGCTATTACCAAGAATTGTAATAGCCCGAATAGACATGTAAAGGTAGTGATAGAAAGCTTAGCTGGATACTTCCTTACCACTGAAGCCTGTAAACAAATCGGATTAGGATGTCAAAGAAAAGATAAATAAGTTTCTAAACATGGTTTTGAACACTGGACTGGACCTGATGGTTGGACCGGTTGACCTGGGAACCAGTCAGGCAACCGATTTTACCCAAAAGACATTCCTGGGCCAAAAGCTGTTGATTTGGTCAGTGACCCGCTGATTCAAATGGTTGAACTGTTGATTCGTTGATCTGGACAATAGTTTTTGGCCATTTTTATTTTAATTAATTTTTAAATCAAAATGGACTGTCTGTTCAAACTGGATGGTCAGACCATTTGACCCAGAAACCAATGGTCAAAACGTTTGTTCCAAATATAGATATGATGCAACTGATACATGGCATATAATCGCAAATGAACGGCACATGATATGAGTGGGATGGGCCCTGTTGGCCGATACATGGCATATCGTATCTGTATTGCAAATGAACAGCACATGTCACTCACGGGTGGTCCATGGAATGGGCCTCTCGTATTATTGGGTATTAATGGACCTATTGTAGCAATTATGGCCACCAGGTCCACCACCAAAAGTTTCTGACCATCGAAGTAGGGAGAGAGTCGCATGTGGTCTGATGTGGCACATTATCTAAAATGGAACTACAATGGAAGCTCAATTCTATTAACAGGCTACCTCTAAAAATGGGTCCATTTGGAGGTTGACACATTATCTAAAACTTCTCTAGTCTTCTTGTTGGCAATGTTTCAACAGATAACTTAACCGCATTACCAATAGAGTTGGTGAATTCTCCTGAAATTCGTAGGAGATAAACAGCTAACTGTTCTAATCTGTCAATGCTAGCTTCATCCCTTATGTACCCCTAGGGTTCTCTTGGGCTATATTTGGTTTGATTGAAAATAAGAGAAACAGAAAGTTGAGGGTAAGTTCTTAACAAAATTTGGCAAATTCCTTGAAAACTTACCCTCAAGTTTCTGTCTCTTATTTTCTATCAATCCAAACACGGCCTAGATCACAAAAGGACAAAATATTTATTATTAAACACCTTATAAACCATGTATTAAGATAAAACCATGTTTACATAATTGATGTGGTCATAGTAATTACTAATTAGTGCCTGACCTGAAGTAAAATCCAAGCAGACCATGATAAGCAGTGCCCGATTAAGTAAATACAACCCAATGTCCAGTTTTTTACTCCAGTTGAATAGAGAAATATGCTTTCTACAGAGCTTCCCACCAGTGGTTGCTGTGAGAGGTTCAACAGAGGAGGGCCTTTGTAGAGTGTAATAATGGTCGCACCTCCTACACTCAAAATGGTTCCTATCACTTTTGCCAACCCATCTTTCCTTAAGACATTAATTGGCTCAATCCTGAGAGAGAGGAGAAAGAGAAAAACATATGATATGAGAGAGAGAGAGAGAGAGAGAGAGAGAGAGAGAGCCTTCAGTTACCTCAGAGCTGAAGCCAGGGCAAAAGTAATTGCTGGCACTGAATTTTGCATTGCTGATGTAAAAGTTGGAGATGTATAGTATAAACCAAGGAGGTAAAACCCTTGATTAGCAGTGACCCTGAAAGGTAAAGAAAGGCAAATGAGAATCTTTTCTTTCTCTCTCTCTCCCTCACGGACACACATACACACAATTAAATCAACTGAAAAGATTGAGCAAATTCATTTTCCCACTTACCCAAATAATGCAAGAAGAAATAATTGAACCAACAAAGAGAAAGTAAGAGGTGGCCTTTCTTCCCTGAAAATTAAAACCAACATTAATCTCTCTGTATTTACAGTAAAAAGAAATAAACTAATCAGTTATAACAAGATATATATGAAAGAATTTAACTGACTTTTCGAAGAAATAAGCAAAAGGTCCCAACAACATCACTGCAATGATGTTTCTGTAGACAGTGTAAACAATTTTGCTGACCCCCATGTCGAGTGCAACTCTGGAAACAATGTGAAATCCCGCAATACATAACTGAAGAACAAGTAATCCTACAAGTAGTTTCATCTTCTCAAACTGAATACTACTTGGTTTTCTCAAAACTTTCTCTCTTCACTTCAACTTCTGGGAGATCACAACTAGAGAAAGATATTCATACTGGGACGAGGTTTGATGCATGAGGCTGGCAAGAGTCAGACAAGTGTGTATATAATTGCAATTGTCTATAGTTAATTACTAACATAGATCTTCTTCTTCTTCATTATTATCTATGTTTTATCTTTATTCCATTTTGGTCGTTGACTTAGCCATGGAATCTTGTTAGGAGATAAGGATGAGTTCGACTTAATTTGGGCACATTGTGCAGGTCATTCTAGCTAGAGCTCTCAATGGGTTAGATCTGGTTCGAGACTGGGTGGACCAGTCCCAACTCGGTTACTGATCGGTTTTATAAAATAGACCCAGAACTAAATCAATTATTATTCGGGATAATCGGGTAGGGTCTGACCCAATTACACTTGACAGTAATAAATTGGAACTTCATTTTTGAAAATTTCATAAAAATACACTAAATAGTAATCTGTGTATATGTAATAAAACAAGTCTTTTTAATCAAAATTATCTTATATACTGTTTATGAGATTTTACTGATCTTAAGACAAAAAACTGATCCCAACCCGATTATTAATCAAGACATAAACAACAGAATCAGAATCAAGATTAGGGATGCAAACGGATTGGATTGGATTAAATTCAAATCAGGGTATTTGAATTTGATCTAACATTATTAAGAGCCGATCCAATCCGATCTGAAGACACAATCGTATCTCATAAGTATGGATTTGAATTAGAATCTGATGAAGAAATTGGATATTCGGATCTAATCCGATCTGATTTAAATTTCTTAAAAAATAAATCAATTATTAAAAGAATAAAATATAATAATTAAAAAAAAAACAATTAATATAATAAATTTATAAAAAATGCAATATAAATAATATATTTATTAATAAATAAATAACATATATATATATATATAGATATAGATATATATTAGATCGGGTTTAGGATTATCCGAATCCAACAAAATAGAATTGGAACGGATCAGAATCTGATCCATTTGCACCCCTATCCAAAATAACCGATTTAGTTGGTTTGGTTCTATTGGTTAGACCCGATCCATTGATAGCTCTAATTCTAGCCCCAGGTCATGTATTTAGTAGTATTTTGTTTCGGTTGGGGTTGGTGAGGAAGAAATACATTGATAACCATGAGCACTAAACCCAGGAAGAGATCTCAGTTCTGATGGCAGCCTCTTGCCTCCGCCTCCGCCCACTGAATGTTGCTTCTTACGTCCCAGAGAGGTCTTGTAGTCATTGGTTAAGCTTATGCAGACTTAGTTATCACCACTCTATTAACTACTTTTTTAAGTTGCTTTGGTGGCTTCTTTGTATGTATGCATGTAATTATATCAAACAGTGGGAGATTACTGGGTACTTCAAGCGACCTGATTCTTTGTTTAGGTTTTGAAACAAATTAAGATCCTTGTCAAGCCTTCCCTTGACACGTAGAAAATGAATAKAATAGGAGAATATTGAAAATAGATCTATCCGCGTGGGTAAAGGTGTTCAAGTTCAGTGATCAAATCGAAAACCGAATCGTATCAAATCGAATAAGTCGATTCAAAATTTAAAATTTGACAATTTGACAAACAAAAATTTTCTTATATATGAAGTTAAAACGAACATTTGACAATTTTCAAAATTTAAAATTAAAAAATATATATTTTTTGCATTTAGGAAACCAATACCAATTTACCTCTTAATGTAATTATTGTACTTTTAGAGGTCAGGCGGCGAAGTAAACAAAAAAGGCGCTAAGTGATAAATTGGATTAGTTTTGATCAGGTTGAAGTTAACACGTGCCAAATATGAGCCATTTACATAGTAGCATTGAATAGGGGTGTCCATGAAAAACCGAAAAACCAAACCAAACCGAGAAAACCAAATCACAAAATGCAGTTCACCGAACCAGTCAATTCAGTTTTGGTTTGGAATTTTTGAAAAATCGAAGGACCGGTTTGGTTTTTGGTTAACCTATAAAAAAATCGACGGTTAACCGAACCGACCGGTATATACATTTATATGTATATTTTATATATATTTTTAATATACGTCAAATATTTTTTATGTATTTTATATAAATATATATTCATTATATATAAATATACTTATATTATATTTATAAGGATCTATTTACAAATATATTATATATTTTTAAAATATTTATAATATATTATATATAATTTATTATTTATAATATAATATTATATATATTTATATAATATATATTATAAATATAAAAATCCTTAAAACCAAAGAACTGAATCGGTCAAAAACCGAAACCAGCAGACTGATTAATCGGTGGTACCGATTCAATTTCGATTTGGTAAAATGAAAAAACCAATACCACCGTTTAAATTTACAAAAAGGGGACATGATTCAGTTAACCGATCCGTCAACACGCACTTGTTAATGTTTGAGACGGTGTATCATTTTATTTAGTCGAATTAATATCGAATTTGGGTTGAATGGAACCCATACCGAACCAAACCAATTGATATGTGAGATACTTGGGGCCATGGTCCATTAAGGAAGAAGCATACAGTTGGCGATAACAAACCATGATTGAGGAACCAATGCACTAGGCATCATATTTCTTAAGTCGTTGCAACCTGTGGTGTTGCAATCCAGCCCAAAGGGCCTGGCCCAACTGCCTGAGTCAGTTCCAGGCTATAGTCCTTATCATAGGTGCTAAGTCCGTCTTGGCCCATGATCACCCCTACTACAAATTATCATTCTATGTCATCATAACCATATGCATGTACATTATCAGTGATTTTTGAGCTTGTGTTTCCATGTATAAGGGATTTGTAGGATTATGAATCCATATCTTCTCCTCAAAGAGTGCTCTTATGCCGACTCCACAACACATCCAGATGTACACTGGGAACATCTTCCTATGTGACAACATATAAGTATGGAAGACATTCTTGGTGTGCTGCTGCAATGTATTATTAGGCATAGTTTTTAAAATTGAACCAGAGACCGAATCGGTCAGGGGTCCGGATACCGAGTCGAATGGTCAGTCCATTTTAAAAAAAATTAAAGAAACTGTCAAAACTGTTCGAATGGTTATCCGCCCAGTTCAGCAATTTATTAATCAAAATCAACGTTTTTTTTTTTTAATCTGATTTTTGGGGGAAACATAACTGATCACCTAACTGGTTCTCAGCTTTTTCGGTCCGACCATCTAGTCCGGTTTTGAAAATCATACTATTAAGTGAGTATGAGGAATGCTCTATGAGGAGCAGTTCTGATCTCTAGCATTACCCATCTAGTGAGATTGGCTTCCGTCAGGGCAAGCCCATGCCCACACTGTTCAAACCGCCTTTTGCAACCTTGTATTGGGAATATATCCCCTTAAAATAAAGCATATAAGGCAGGGAGATATTCTCAATTCAAGGTTGTAAAGACTGCTCGAATGAGCTGTGCCCTGACCGGAATATATTCCCTTAAAATAAAGCATATAAAGCAGGGAGATATTCTCAATTCAAGGCTGTAAAGGCTGCTCGAACGAGCTGTGCCCTGACCGAAGCCGAATTCCCATCTGGTTGCCTTGAAGCATCCAACTCATTCGAATAACCTCAGCAATCCGAGGATAAATGCAACCAAAACCAAAGATTGAAGGGTCAAGGCAGAAAAAAAGCTAGATATTTGAGGATATGTACCATGAGTTTTGATTCTTCAAATAAGGAAATATCATCTTACAATATATCTCATTCAATGTGCATATGTTAAAAGAAATTCTACCATACAGCAGCAGCAACAACAACAAATATGATCATTGTCCCACCATGAGAAGGTAGAGCAGGAGAGCTAATGGAAATAACATCTTAGGCTTTCGATGTAAGGAGATATCAAGGAAGCTGCAAGGAGAAAACATTGAAAAGGCCACGAGTGGTGATGTGTACAGCTAACTACTTGGAGGACCCATAACCAGCGTCAATAGCTAGAGCCTCCCCAACAGCCAATATAACTAAACTCTGGTTTTATGATAAAAGAAAAAGAAAATACAGATTGGGAAACACCTTAGTGTGCAACTTGGGTCAATTATCAGACTAACAACCAATATCATGGTTTTCAAAATCGGATCGGATTGGACGGTCGAATTGGAAAAATTAAGAACCGGTCAAGTGACCAATTTCGTTTTACCCAAAACCGTTATTTCCCCTAAAATCGTTGATTTAATCAGCAAAACACTGACCTGGGCGATCAAACCGTTCAACAGTTTGACTGGTTTTTATTATTTTAATTTTTTGTCGGAACAGGCTATCTGTTTGGTTTGAACAATCGAACCGTTCGACCCGAGAATCGAACTCCTGACCGATTCATTGTCTAGTTCGATTTTAAAAACCTTGGCCAATATAGCCATCCTTTGGTTTGGATAAGTTTTCTTTTAGACTTTTGGTTATGATAGATAATAGGGCTGTAAATAATAGTATCCCTCTATCTCAAGCGAATAATACAAAGGCCCATTCCTTTTTCTTTCATACATTTACCCAAGGTAAGTGCTTCTACTAGATAATATGCTATTTTATTTTCCAAATAAGTGAGATAATAACCATTTTATCCTTAAAAAGACAAAATTAGAAGGAACAATACTATCGTTAGACATTGGTGCCACCGGTTACCACTACTAGTGGTCTGGTTAAAGACTAGGGTTTAGATGAGAGAGAGCAAAGAGGATTTCGGATGATAGAGGGGAAGATGAATTTGTTCGTTTGAGTACCCGGTCAAAAGGGAGTAGATTTTCTTTGTTTTAAAGCTTTGAATACCCAGTTCAACCATGCAACTCGTCGTTAAGACAAGAATCCACTTAGTTTTTCTATTAAAGGTACAAGCCGACGTGTTTAAAAATTATTGGAGGGTGCACGCATCTTGTGGATAGAAGGGTCCACTGAATCCGAGCTTGAATTCCCATTAATTACTCATTTTTTGAGTTGCCGACATGGTAGTTTCTGGTTGGAGGGTTCACGCTTCCCATGAACCTATGGGTTTACAGGATGCGAACTCTTTTCCTCTACTGTCATTTATTAGCAACCTAGGTCTGGTCCCTTGTGGACAACCAAATGCCAACACCAAAGATTGGATGCAACCAATCACTGATCGAGTGGTGTACCAATCTGTTGGAAAAACAATCAGACAAAGCATACCACCTCTTCTGGGAAAAAAAGCTACTTACATCTTATGGTTATCTCTGGAAAAACAGAAATGAAAATTTTTAAAAATAAACTTTATAAACCTCTTGAGATAGTAAAAAATGCCCTTGCAAGTTTGAGAGACTACAAGAAAGCCTGAGAGAATAGAGAACTTAAACAAAAAGAAAAAACCATATAGGTAAAATGGACCCCTCCAAATTTATTAAAAAAAAAAAAATTACCCCAAGATAAATCTTAGTGCTTCTAGGAAAGCTGAGACTGTGCTTATGGATGCATAGCAAGGAATTTCAAAGAGGAGATCATAAAAGTAGAGGCAGGTCCAATAGGCAAAAACTCAATAATGGTTGCAGAGATGAGGGCTATTTTAAAAGCCCATCAAATGGCTCGGGAATTAGGATTGACAAATGTAATATTAATTAGGAGACTCCAAGACAACAATAGAGATGCTGAAGGGCTCGTATAAAGATGCATGCAAGTGTCGAATCATCAAAGACGGATGCATGAAGATCAAGTAGTGGGAGATAAATTAATGATACATCCAGGAGATCAACATTCATTAATTTATCTTCAAGTGCATATATAGGGAAGACGATAAAGCGACGGAATGATGAGTAGCGAACGATGGACATCCAGGAAATATCAACTCAGCCACCTTTAGTCCAAGGGAGCTGGACTATATCACCCTGATAGATGCCTTGGAAGTAGGGGTGTAAATGGATTGAATCTAAAAGAATCAGATAATATCTGAATTTGAATCCTATTAGAAAATTTGATTAATTACTTATTTTAGGTAAATAATAAATATATAAATAAATATTTTATTTATATAAAGTATATAAATATATAAATTATTTATATAATTTAATTATTATATATAAATATATAGAACATTTAAATATTTTATATATTATATATAGAAATTAAATAATTAGTCAAATTTGGATATTTATCGAATCAAATCCAATTAAACTATATTCAAATTCAAATACAATTAATTATCAATATGAGTAAGATATTCAAATTATCCAAATTCAATTTGATTATGTTGAATCTCGAATTAAAATCGGATTTTCAAACACCGTTGACACCCTGTATTTAGGAGTGTTTTTTCTCGTGTGTTTTAATCTCTCTATTGCATCAAAACAAATTTGAATTTGATCTTTGGTAGTTAGGATTCAATCTATTTATAATTTGATTGAATAAAAATATATATATATTGATTTTGAAGTGCTTATGTATATGATGTTTATATATGCTTAAAATTCATATTATATCTATTAGTAAACTTGGCTTCTGATAAGGGGTACAAGTTAAAGGGTGAACCTGAGAGTCTCAATATTTGACCAAAAAAGAAGAATTGCTTTATATCCAAATGAGAGTCTGAATCTCTTACCTACATAAACTCTGCTCATGTCTACCTACATTACATCATAGCTACACATAGAGAACATCTCATCCTCTTACATAATATTATACAAGGAGAGATGTTCTCATGGACAAAAAATCCGGAGTCTCCAAATGAAAGGCCCAAACTTCATCCTCTTCACAGATTGAGTTTAATTTCATTGACTGGTAGTTGAAGCTTGATACCTAGATCTAGAAAACATCACATAACCACTTAATTTCTGTTGATAGTGAATTAGAGTCTGTTATTAAGATAAGCTGACAAGGGGATTTTAACGAATTCATATCTGCACCCCGCAGAATGTGCGTAATAAACGTCATACAGTAATATCCCAATCGACTATTGCAAATAAACGTCCCACAAGTACATAAGATGTTCCAATGCATAATGCATGCTGATAACCTAAGATGTGCAAATTGAAATTTGTTTCTTACACAGTGTACTTCACACCGACCTTACTGACATATCTCCCGAATTCCGATGTATCGAGGACATATCCCATAAATAATAACACATAATTACGGGATATGTTCTAATACATGGTGGGATGTGACTGTGAAGTGCGCTATGTGAGGAACAGATCAGGTCCGGTCTCCAGATGTGCATGTGGGGCATTTGTGGGGTATGCAGATGTAAACTCCGTTTGGAAGGGTTGGATTAATCCTACCAACCCATGTCCTTCTTTCCTTGCCGTCAGTGCTTTACATTTATATGTACGAAATGACGACGTGTTCAGTCACGATAGGTTATTATAACCATTTACACACAGCGAGACGAGCAGCAGATCCTGGCGCATTTTGCTCACTTTGAATATTCGAGGTGGGACTATTTTGTAATTTCAACATTCTAGGATGTCCTATTCGCCTATTCCGAGCTCACAACGGACTATACGAAAAATTGGAGGGAGACATCTGGCTCTGTATATATAAAACGGAAGGGCAGGGTCGAAACAAGCGAACAGCCTTGGAGCAGTAGTAGACCTCGTCTTTCTGAAAGAGAAAATAAGGAAAGAAGAATAAATCTCGATCTGGGTTTCCAATTTGTTGGTGTTAACAGCCATGGCGTCTGCAGGTTTGGTGAAGCTGAAGACCTCGTCTTCGCAGTGGATCGGACAACAGCCCTTCAACCACCGCCCTGGACCATCCCTTCTCTCGGCTCCCCGCCGAGTTGCTCTCCCGATCCGAGCCGGTGCTTACACCGACGAACTCGTTCAAACCGCTGTTAGTAATAATTTTCCGCAACCTAGTTTTTTAAGATATTGTCTTCTTTTCGACAATTAAGCTTTATTGGTTTAGTTTCATAGTCATTCAGACTGTTAGTTTGAGATGAAACATCGTTAATTTGTATGGTTGGATCGTGATTTGATGCTTGTTTATCTGGTGGTTGATGGAAATTTGAATGCTTTTTAATTTATGGAGGCTGCTTTTGTAATATTCGATTGAGCCTTTCCTTTTTGTGGTTCTGTTTGGTTTCTCTTAACAAAAGTAGAGATGGAGTTGTTTTGATCAATTGATCCAGATCGTTATAGTTTGGTTTTTGCTTTTTGTTTCCTGTTACGTATTATATTCCAAAAGATTTGATATTTATCGGACTTGATTATAGTTATATTGATTTCAATATCTAACAGAGGCTTTTGTTCCGAGTCCTCCGTGTTGTTTATTTTCCCGTTTTTATGTTGCCATTCTATGTTTTCTAAAGCTCTATTTGAGAGCTGAAAGATTGAAAATTTAGGGATTTACCACAAGTTCAGACATTAGTATTGCCACTTTTATTTATTTATTTATTCTTTTCGGTTTGAATTTGTTTAGATTTTTTATTTGTTTTCCGCATTCCAATATGCGTAGGCTTTTTTTGAGGCTCAGTTTGGAAGGAGTACAAATAAAAATATGTAGAGTGCAAAACCTTGTATTTTGTATTATTTTATATGTATTTGCAATGTACATATTTGTATTTGTACTCTTTCCAAACTGAGCCTCAATGGTTCTTTGTTTGTATATGAATCATTACTAAAGCATTCTTATTCCTTTTGCCATGGGAACCTTTTGTTTTAACTTTCCAATTTGGCATTTGATTGTGTTGAATCTTCCGTACCCAAAACTATCAAATAATATCTAGAAAAAGAAAATGCTGGAGTAGGAAACTAATGATAATATCCAAATAACCACTGTTCTTTACGCTCAGTTTGGAGAGAGTACAAATAGAAATATGTACAGTATAAATACATGCAAAATAATACAAAGGGAAAATTTCTTAAACTACCCCTAAAGTTTAGGAAATTGACTAACTCTACCCTTACTGTTTCAATATTGTCCTAAAGTACCCTTACTGTTTCTGACAATTGTCTAAAACCTCCCCTACCATTAAACTTTCCATCATGCTCAATCACATGTGACATCACGTGACTGATTTTTTTTCAAAAATTCAAAAAATACCCTTTGAAATCGTTGAGGCGGCTTGGCGGTGGTTCTTCACTCTTGTCGGAAACAGAGCAGAACGACTTTTTTGAGTGTTTTGGCTGGCCACCATGGCCGCGGCATGCTGTCCATGGAGCTTCTTCATTGCTACAACCCGCCCATCAGACCATCAGATCTAGTCTATACCGGAACTGTACAGATTGGCAACCAGGGCGCTTCTACTCTAGGAAATGAACAAAACTAATTTTCTTCACTGTGTTTTCCATCCTCCCAAGAAAACCTACTTCCTCCGGTATCTGCCAAATATAGCAAAGCTTTCTCTATTTTTATAGAAATTTCAGCTTCAAGAATCCAATCGGCCTGAGCTGCAAATGTTGGACTTCTGAAACCGCTCAATCATTGTTCTGTTGTTAAGCTTTGTCTTTTCTTTTTCTCTCTGTTTTTTTGTTCTTCCTCTTAGTCTCTTCCTTTATGCCATCTCTTACACTCTCTGCTTACCCTTTCCACTACCATCCAGCTAACAAAAGAGTCTTTTGTAAAATCAAGAAATCTCTGAAAATCTCCATTACTAACAAGCAAGATTTGAGAGAATATGTTCCAAGTTAGGGGAATAGTGTGTAGGAGGAAAGAGGAGGGTGGGTTGGGACTGGGGAACTTAGTTTTGAAGAATAAAGCACTCATAGGAAAATGGTTGTGGAGATGGCCCTTAGAACAGGAGAGACTATGGCATGAGGTGATAGATAGTATACATGGCAGTTCGGGAAATGGATGGGATGCTAGTGTATAGCGTCGAGCCACATTGGCAACACCTTGGAAAGCAATTTAGAGTATTCTCCCTTTGTTCCTCAACTGTATTAGGTATGATGTCAATTCTGGTACTTTTGTTTTGTTCTGGGAAGACATCTGGTGCAATTCTATGAAGACCTTTGGGTTGGGGATTTACCTTTTATGGTTAAATTCCCGGACCTCTACTCTTTATCAAACCTTAAAAACAAACCTGTTGCTAGGGTTGGCATGCTTTTAGACTTTGGGTATATCTTGGGACTTTGGCTTCAAAATGGGGCTAAGGGAAAATGAATGCGAGTCCCTATTGCTTTTGTTATCAACTCTCAAGAAGGTCTACTTAGACCAAACTACAGATGATAGTAGGGTTTGGTCTCCAACTCCTGATGGGTTATTCTCTTGTGCCTCTTTCTTCGGTTTGCTCACTCACTCTGATCCTTTGGGGGTGAACCTCCCTCTGAGAGAAATCTGGTGTAAACCGATCCCTCCTAAAGTACAAGCTTTCTGTTGGGAAGTGTTCCTAGGGAAGGTAAACACTTGTGATGTGCTATAGAAAAGAAGGCTAAACAAATGCCTATCCCCTCATGTGTGTGTCCTTTGTAAGGATTGTGGTGAAACCCTACCCCATTTACTGTTATCCTGCTCTTTTGTTTCTTGTATTTGAGATTTTGTTTGTTCTCTCTTTGGATGCAGATGGGCTCCCTCATAGGATGTGGTAAGTCTATTCAGCCCCTCCTTCATGAGGTAGCAGAAGAAAAGAGGAAAGTGCCTATGGAAGGCAGCAAGAGCTGCTGTGGTATGGACTATATGGGAGGAAAGAAAACAAAGACTCTTCTCGGAAAAAAGTAAAACAAAGGAGGAAGTCATTGAAACAATAAAAATCAGAACTGCACATTGGGTGATGACCATGGAACTATTCAAGAACTTCTCCATGAATGACATTCTAAGAAACTGAACTGAAGTAGCACAAACAGGCGTACCCAAAGAAGATGTGAGAGCGGAATGGAAGCCACCTACAATGAACAAATTAAAACTAAACTTTGATGGGGGTTCCCTTGGTAACCCGAGAAGGGCAGGCATAGGGGGTGCGATAAGAAATCATCTAGGTGAAGTTGTGGCACTCTTCTCAGGACCAATAGGTATTGGTGACTCAATACAGGCTGAATCTTTGGCTCTACTTCAAGGCTTAAAGATGGCTGAGCAGATTGGAACAATTGAATCAGAAATAGAAGGAGACTCACTGCTGGTCATCTCTTGGCTAAACACATCATATCAGCACCTTGGAAGCTCAAATTTATCTATAGAGAAATTGACACAATTGCAGGGAGATTCAACTCTTAGTTTGCTTGGGTTAGAAGGACTACAAATGGGTTGGCGGATACCCTAGCAAAACAGGGGCAAATAGACTTACCTTGTACTGGGTTGAACTATAATTGTTTTGTATGTGTTTGTAGACTGGGTTATAGATTGGGTTAAGGCATTATTGCTACCTATATCTATTGTAATTCAATACTTCTCTTTTATTAATAAAAGTCTTTTTGCTTATCAAAGAACAAAAAAACTGCCCTTAAGGACAGTTTCCCTTCTCTCTATTCCCTTTCTTGCTACAAGGGTAAAACAATCTCTCACTTTCTTCCAACATCTGTTTCTCCATCATCTCTGAATTGGGATTTTGGGTTTCGTAGGGGCTTGAGGGATCATGAACTCTCTTGTGTTTCAGACCTTTTATCACTACTTGAAAGTGTTTTTCTGGACCCTTTAAGATCTGATGTAAGACTTTGGTCTCCTAATCCAAAAGGTTACTTCACGTATGCTTCCTTCTTTAAGTCCCTTTGTTCTCCCTCGGGACAAGTGGGTTTTTCAGCTAAGGAGATTTGGTCTAAACCTGTACCTCCTAAAATTATTATTTTCTGCTGGGAGGTGTTCTATGGGAATATCAACACTTCAGACATATTGCAGAAGATAAGGCCTTCTATGTGTTTGTCTCCTAATCAGTGTGTACTTTGCAGGGCTAATGGTGAGGATTGCTCTCACTTACTTTTAACTTGTTCTTTTTTTGTTGCTATTTGGGGTTGGATCTTTACTTTGTTTGGTTGCAGATAGAATTTGATCACAACCGTAGATCAGATCTTTGACCCTTCCTTCTTTGTTTAGCCCACAAAAATTGGTAAAACAATGTGGAGATGCATTAGAGCTGCTGCTTTGTGGACAATTTGGGAAGAAAGAAATGCGAGGATTTTCCAAGAGAATGAGAGAAATATTCAGAATGTAAAGGATTGCATTTTTTTTTTTGATCAATAACACCATCTTCATTAAATTAAAAGAAAAGAGAAGTAAAGGATTGCATTTTGACCAGGGCAATCCATTGGATTCCTTTAAAATATATTCCTTTGATGTCATTTGGAGGAACTGGATTGCTGTGGTTAGTAGCAGTAATAGGAAGAACAGGGTACCAGCTGTGTGGATGCCTCCTTCAGAAGATTGGACAAAGCTGAATTTTGATGGTAGCAGCCAAGGAAATCCGGATCCATCAGGGATAGGTGGGGTGCTGAGAGATAAAGATAGTAATATGTTAGCTTTATTCTCAGGCTCTGTGGGTATAGGAGACTCTATTAGAGCTGAGCTTCTAGCGGTAGTACAAGGTATTCAGATTGCAGACCAGTTAGGAGTTAAGGATTTGCTTATTGAAGGAGACTCCAAAGTCGTTGTGGGCTGGTTAAAAAATCCAGATTCAGTTATTTGGTGCTACAGGGATATTATGAGGAAAGCTAATTGGTTTTTAAGGAACATGATTGTAAATTATCAGTGGGTGGGTAGAACAGCTAATACCATAGCGAGCGGATGGGTTAGCTAAACAAGGGTATCAAGGGAACATTTTTTCTGGGCAGCTCTGTAAACTTTCTTTTACTAGTCTGAGGTAGTACTTTGTTGTTGTTGTGGAGAGGTACCAGCTCGTGCCTCTCCTATGGGCAGGCTGTATTGTAATATCATTCTGATTATAATGAATAAATTTTCAATCATTCATAAAAAAAAATGTTCCAAGTTAGGGAAACTAAATTATTGCTTATGGTGAGTTAAAAAAAGTCATTTGTAATCTTCCAAGAAAAAAACAAAAATAGAAATCCTCTATTCTAAATCACTTTTCTTTTTCTCTGTTTGTCTCTCAATCTTCGTACATTTTCTTGTGCTAATTGCCTCACCTTGCTTGTGTTCTAGAAATCTATTGCATCTCCTGGATGTGGTATCCTTGCCATTGATGAATCAAATGCAACTTGTGGGAAAAGGCTAGCATCAATAGGCTTGGACAACACAGAATCCAATCGACAGGCTTATAGACAGCTTTTGCTAACCACTCCTGGCCTGGGTGAATATATCTCTGGTGCTATTCTTTTTGAGGAAACACTCTACCAATCAACAACAGATGGAAAGAAGTTTGTGGATTGTTTGCGTGAGGAAAAAATTGTGCCTGGCATTAAAGTTGATAAGGTATTTTGCAGTAATATGCTATTAGCCCTTAGATGTTGTTCTTTTTCTTTTATCTTTTTATTTTTATTTGGGCGGTGGAAGTGCCTTCATATGCTAATTTGTACTGATGAGTTTGTATGTTATTCTGCTTTTGTTCCAAGGGTTTGGTTCCACTACCAGGATCAAACAACGAATCTTGGTGCCAAGGATTAGATGGATTGGCTTCAAGATCTGCTGAATACTACAAGCAAGGTGCTCGTTTTGCAAAATGGTGAGTCTCAGTGACCTATTGTGTTTGTTCATACGCTAAATAATGTTTGCCTGCAACCTCTTTGTAAATTCAGCTATGATACTCGGGTACCTGTACAAGGGTGCCATATCGAGTCAAATATTTCAACTTGTAGTGTAAATTTGGTCTCCAATACCATATTCATCTGTCCTTGCCATATCTGGGTATGACTAGAATCTAGTATGGTCAAAGTTCCACATTCATTTCTTTTTTATATATTTTTTGCTTCATCTTTATTATCTACTACATAAGAAGTTTGTGCTAAAAATTTTCCCCAACTCATGCATGTCTATCCAAATTGCCAGGCGGACAGTGGTTAGCATTCCTTGTGGCCCTTCTTCTTTAGCTGTGAAAGAAGCAGCATGGGGACTTGCACGCTATGCTGCTATTTCTCAGGTATGCATTAGCTTTAAAATGTCTATATCCATATAATAAGTTAAATGATAAATCCACGATAAACTCAATGACATACATTGCTTCTTTTGTACAGTTAAGATAAGCGATCTACTTTTTGGTCAAAGCTCTTTTTTGGGGTTGTTAGTAGATAAAACTTGCTAAATGAGGGTTGCAATAAATGACCGTCTGCAAAAATCAACCCCAAAGTCTAGAGGGAACAGCAATTAGAATTTCCCCATGTACATCTTAATACAATATTTCTAAGTGCTTTACAAGTCCCGTCAAAGCCTTGTAGTTTAAACACAATGCTGTGTATATTCCAGGGTATTGCATAGTGCTGGAGTTATGTGCTTTGGCTAGTCTTGTTTAATGATCAAAACAATAGTTGTTCTTCTTTTACTGACTGTGTATGAGTGTACGAGTGGTTTTTCAAATAATCGATCCTAAGATTGTTTTTGATTCTTTAGAGAATAAGTGAGAAGTCCTTGAGCAACGTTATAAAATGCTTAATGAATTCCCCACAAGTTTCCCTTTCTCAATTATTTTTTGAGGAACCAAACAGAGCCTAAAGGTTTATTCAGTCATGCAGAATGAAGTAGGTTTTGGACATTGTGTAAATTTAGAATCACCTGTAAGCATAAGACATTATTGTGCAAATTGTTGATTCCTTTATATCTATGACAATCGATCCTAAACCTTCTCTTGTCATTCTAATTTCTGTTGTTACTGTAATTTTTCATGCAGGACAATGGTCTTGTTCCAATAGTGGAACCTGAGATTCTCCTTGATGGTGACCACTCAATTGAGAGGACACTGGAGGTGGCAGAGTATGTATGGTCAGAGGTCTTCTACTACCTAACACAAAACAACGTAGTGTTTGAAGGAATCCTGCTGAAGCCCAGCATGGTAACCCCTGGTGCCGAGCATAAGGAAAAGGCTTCTCCAGAGACCATTGCTGAATATACACTCAAAATGCTCAAGAGAAGAGTACCTCCTGCAGTTCCTGGTATCATGGTATGTAGTGCATTTATGTTGCATTACCCCCTGTGGACTTCCCATTTCCCAATGCATGTATTCAGGACTTGTTCAGACTTGAAGACCCACGAATAAGTTTCCACCAGGGAGATCTGGTCGGAAAAATCAATTCCAACTGTTTTTCTTCTATTTTCTCTTGGTAATTCTAACAGCCAATTAGAATTAGTCAATTCTCAGAATGGTTCTATCCTTTTTAGGTAAGGATGGGAACTGCAAAAATACCCTTTGAGAGTTGAGACCCACCCATATTGCCCTTACTTGGAATCAAGTAGGACTCCGCTATGATCCAATCCATTGACAACCCAAGTTTTTTTGTTTTCTGTGTATGACCACCCTGTAAGTCATCTTTTGCAATATAAGGCAGTGATCGATCTTCAACGTTACGCTCCTATTCGTTTATATGCCATCCTATTTGCTTAAAAAAATCAGAAGAAAACTAGTAATTTCTGAGTTCGAAGGAAGTGACAAACAGTGAACATTGGTTTTCTTTAATGTGCAGTTCTTGTCAGGAGGACAATCTGAAGTCGAAGCAACATTGAATCTGAACGCAATGAACCAAAGCCCGAACCCATGGCACGTTTCATTCTCATACGCACGTGCACTGCAGAACAGTGTGCTGAAGACATGGAAAGGACGTCCAGAGAACGTAGAAGCTGCGCAGAAGGCCCTCTTGGTGCGTGCCAGAGCAAATTCTGTTGCTCAACTTGGAAAATACACTGGCGAAGACGAGAGTGACGAGGCCAAGAAAGGAATGTTTGTCAAAGGCTACACTTACTGATTCAGGGTTGATATTACAAGTCATGTCTTAGTGGCTATGAATGCTTAGAGGATTCACAAGGCTGTTTCTTTCTTTTCTTTTCCTTTTATTTATTTGCCCGCCATGTTGAATTAGTCGAATAATCACCAGTGAGAATCATAAGAACCCTTCTTTCAGATTTAACGGAGGACTTCTCATTAGTTGTGTAAGGATGTGAATGGAGGCTGTTCCAAAGGGGTGATCGAGTAACTTGTCCAGCTGTCCCAAAGAATGTATACTTTGAACCCGATATTCAACATTTCAACGTAATCTATTTTAGACAGGGTTTTTTATTGTCCAAGCCAACAACTTAATGTTATTTTGCTAGCTTGTTATGCCATGTTTGGTTCAACTCTTATGATTCCACATTCTTTCCAATATTAAAATTCTATAAAGGATAAAAAAATGGGTAGAAATGAGCATAATGATAAAATGTTTTTTTCTTTTTCAAAACATAAATTCTTTTTATGGCAAGGATGAGATTCATGAGAATAAATTTTGAACCCATTTAGTTATAAATTTCATTTTCATTCTTTTTTTTGTGGAAGCAATTGGTACCTATTTAAAACTAATAAAAAAGAAATTAGTTTGTTGAATTTAGTAAGCAGTTGTGTAAATGAAGAAAAGAGATTGAAACTTAAAAATAAAATTAATAACATGTAGAAGTACAAAATATCTAATAATTTTATCAAAATTGATAATAGTATATTCAATAAAGATAATATATTAATAAAGTCATAAAATATAGTAAAACATTATAAAATCGTGCCACGTATTGTTTATTTCCATTTTTCAAAGAAACTCTATGTTGGTGTCATAAACTGCCAACCAAGGTATCAAAAATACTTGGTATAGATTTTTATTGGCGGATGGCTTGTGGTATTTGTTAAAATATGTTTTCACAACAGACTATCGGCCATCCATTGGTAAAAATCTATGTTGGCGATTTTCGAGACTTAGGTCAGCGGTTTATGACTCATGGCAATAATTTTTATGCCAAACGCTCTCATGTGATTTCTTTTTTGCTCATTCTTGCCCAAAATGGAAAAGAACTAAAAGAAATAAGATTTACAACAACGAACAAAACATGGCCTTCCATTTAAATACTTGTTTTGGAGATGGACAGGAAGGGTCTTAAGAGACCAGTTACATTGTTTCAGCCTTTAATTGGCCAATTACTCTCTAGACTTTATATGCGGTTCAAAGGCAAGCTTCAATCCCCATCGATTTCATTACTATTGCTACCACGATTCTAGCATTTCCTTGCAATGCACTAATGCAAATATGCAATACTGGTATGTCAGCGATGGAAATAAATTCAAGGGTAAAAAAGACTTAAACGTACCCTAAATTTTCATAAATTGACTTAAATGTACCCCGAGTCTTTTAGAAAGGCTTAAATGCTTTGTTAGCTGACCCAATTGGACTTAAATATACCCTCCATCAATGAAAAGACACATTTTAAGTCATAGAATCGGAGGAGGAAGAAGAAGTAGAAGAAGGAATGTAGAATGGTGGAAGAAGAGAAGAGAAAAAATGACTAGTGGACTGGTTCGGTTAACACAGAGAGAGAGAGAGAGACCCTGTTGTTCACCACCCACATGAGTTTAAAAATAAAAGTCTTTTTAAGAAATTCAAGATAAGTTTAAGCCTTTTACCCTAATTTTAAAACACATTCCACATTTTTATTTTCATCAAGGATCTGTTCAAGTTTGGAGGTCTCAAGGTAGCTCTGCCACCATGGTCTTAGGAGATTGATCCATCCATATCAGATGACCTATCTAAGATCTAACCACTTATTAGAAAATCTTGACAGCTGTCCAACAAATTCCTAATTAGTCTATTAGACATGAAAGGAAATCCAAATTTGATCGTCACAGAACACTCCTCACACCAACCTCACAGCACTTGCAAGCTAGATAGCAGTATCAAGATGTTCCCAATGCATGGCTGTGAGAGCACAGCATATAATTACGTATATATCCTAAGGTGTGAGGAAACTACTTATATATACTTATTTCAAAATCTACTTATATATACCTTTTAGATTGCCCCATTGCCCCACATAACACAAATAGACCATCTGTGAAGAAAATGTTTACAGCCATTTCACATGTCCATTTAACTTTCATTTCCAATTTTTGCTCTCTCTCTCCTCCTGTTCACACCCCCCCCTATTTGCAAGTGAAAGGGAAATGGCATACCTAAGATATTAGATAATGGAATAAAGTTTTAGGAATTTTTACATGGGGCAAACAATGCAAATAAAGAGTGCTTCAACTGAGTGGTTTTGCAGTAGGAGAACAGGGGAAGGAAGAAGAAGAAGAGCGGAAGAAGGATAAGAAGAAGAAAAGCAAGAAAATGTTATTTTTTGAAAATTTAATAAACAGTTAAAGACACTTTGGTCCTTTAACTTTTATCTGTTAGACTTGCAATAAGAAACTGCCGTTATGTTGATAAATGTTCACACAGATTGCCCTGCTTTCCATTCTGTCTCCATAAAACTTACCGCTGGGTATTGTTGACATAAAATTCATGCTTGTATATCCAGTTATCCACAGCAGCCCTTCTCAACAAATATGTTTTGTCAACCAAGGTTCAAAGTATTGACACATATCGGCCCGTATCAGCTGATATGTATCGTTCTGGAACCCCTCCGATACGCCCCTATAGTGAGTGTATCAGGGGTCTGACCGGTTTAGGGGGTGGAGGAGCCCTAAACCGACCACCCCCCTGAAACAGTTTTGAAAAAAATAAAAAAGAGTTAAAAAAGGATATCTATTCGCCCGATATATTTTAGCCACCCAAAATTTTAAACAAGACATGTTTTAGGTCTCATCATGCTTCTCTTATTCCTTTGTTAAACCTTTAGAAAATCAGGCTAACAATGAGAAGCCACAGCTGCTTATTTACACAGTGGCCAAACATTTTTTTTTACGCCTCATAATGGCCAAACATTAGACAATGTGACAGAGATATTTAAACACAATTTCTACACAAGAACGTAATTCTTAAATATTAGAAAGACTGCTAGGTCAGTGAGTCAGTCGACATCCCCTGAACGACAGGAAAGATGAAGGAGAGAAGAGAAGGGAACATCCAACAAGGCATCAACCGAGCTTTTCTCAACACTAAGAAACAACTAGGAGAGGGTGGGGCGGTAATACAACATGAACGTTTTTGTTTTCATTTGTTTTTTGAAAATACCATATCAGAAAAAAAAGAAAAAAGTTCTTGAGCTATGCTTTTGTTTTGAAAAGTAAAATCTAGTTGGTTTGGTTTCAGAAAGTAATATATGAACGATACATGTTGATGCCATCAAAACGATGCTTTTTAAAATGAAAACACATTTCATAGTACCAATATTACATGCTTTGCGGAACATAATGTTAAATAACCAGATGAAAGCATGTACTCTAATGATCCTCGAGAGGAATTTCTGGGCACTTTTAACCTTAATTCTAAGTATTTCTCCAGGTTTTTCAGGATCATCTGGCATTGGGCACTTTTAACCTCAGTTGAATATCTGAGCTCCATTAGATGTTCTCCATGGTTAGGACTGGTCTAATCCTAGCAATAACTGAGATAAAAAAAGGGATAATATAAGTAATGCTAGGGGAATTTAATCTTAGATGCAGTCTTTGGCATGTCAGTTTAACATTTTAGAATTTATAGGTCATACTAACAAGTAAAGATATAAATGGGTCAGGCTTGTAAGGAAAAGCCAGAACTGACCCTATTATTGATGGAGTTTATTAGGCCTAAGCTGATAGGACTCAATTCTAACAGGCCTTGATTACCAAAAAAAAATTCTAACAGGCCTTTACCCTAGTAATTTCACAATGAATCTGCTAATTTTCTTGTTCTCTCTTCAAAAAACATTTATCTCCTATAAAATGACTACTTTAGACATTTTATGTGAAATTATTACAGTAAACAATGAGAAATATATATAAAATTTACAAGTAAATATACTATTACTTGTATATGTATTTCTATTTTTGGTTTGTCTTAATCAAGTTGGAACAAGTAAACCCAATTCAGCCCTATTAATGGGAACTCAAAATACAAACTCCAAACCAACCCTATTAATAAATCAGAACTAAAATATAGACACAGTGTTATCAAAAGATTGGCTAGTCAACCAACTAGTCAGTTGAGGGCTGGTTGAAGAACCCAGATTCAATCATTTGGGCTTATAGAGATGATCTGAAAAGGTTTAAATGGTTGGCTAGTAATATGAACATTAAAGTAGAGTGGGAAAGAAGATCAGCCAATGGATTGGCAGAGGTTTTAGCTAAACAAGGCGTTAACAGGGATCGTTCGTTTTGGACTCGGTTGTAATCTTTCTCAGTTTCTTGGGAGGATGCACCTTGACTACATGACTAACTAGTCAGTTGATACTCATGATGCAGTCACCATTATTAGCTAGGTTGGCAAGTCAACCACAAAATTGCTTCAAAGCTTAATTAGTTTTCTGTATCTCAAATTATGTTCATGTTGTTACATTAAATACTGTGACAGATGATGAATGGCTGATGTGGTATATGAAAGAAAAAAATGCATAAAATGTAAAAGAACAGTGCAGGAATTCTTTAAGTCTTTTCTAATCAGTAGTGTGCCGTACAGACTACAGAGTTGCCACAAACAAAGGCAAATTGAAAAGTCAAGGTTGCACTCTTTTTTTTGGAAAACAATGGTTGTGGAATTCCCTAACCTAGCTGTTCAGCCTACCTTTTTAATGTTTACAAAATAGACAATAGAGTGAAAAATAAACATTCAATATGATTCCTTTATTGCATAGTTCTACTCTGCACTGATTTATTTATGATATCACATCAATATCTTAAATTCAGAACATACCCTTTTTTCATTGACTCATCAATGTCGGGACCAACTTAGTCATGGCAACTAGACAATTAGAGAGGCCAAAACAAATATTTGTCACCTCCCCACATTGATAAAACTGTACAGATCCAGACCCTATGTAATAGGGTCAAATAGGTTGGGTTTGTTGGATTGACCTGCACCATTGACAGCCCTATGAGTTGGGAAGACTTCTAACAAAAACAGATAATGGAAAGTGGAGATCCATATTCTCATTGCAATTCTCTTATAATTGTTACATTGTGATTTGCACTTTCTGCAACCTGGGCTCCATGCTAGGCAAAGTGACTTGTAAAACTCACTGTGATAAGTGGTACTACTAACCAGACAAAGCTACAAAGTAATTAAACCAAAGGCAAATAAAGCACCTAAATTATAAAACAAACATGCTTCTGCAACCTGGGCTCCATTCTGGGTAAGCGACTTGTAAAACTCACTGTGATAAGTGGTACTACTAACCAGACAAAGCTACAAATTAAACCGAAGACAAATAAAGCACCTAAATTATAAAACAAATATGCTTCTGCAGACCATACAAATGTCCAGCAAGCCGAAGCAAAGTGTGTGTTTAAGATATATCAAATTCCACCAAGTATGCACATGGAACCTAGCCATACATATCCTCCAATTATATCTTTTAAGCCATCCATACTAACAATCTATCCTTCTCCCTCAAAGGGCAATTTTAGTAAATAGCCAAATATAGCACTTAGGCTCAGGGTCAAGTTGGTTATTTTTTCTTACACCCCACTCCCAGTGGAGCCCAGGTATGCACCCCCAAAATTAAAAGCCTTGAGTACAAGAAGAAAATCACCCATTTAATAAGATAAAAAAGGATAACAATAACAAAAACAGCCAGACTAATAGTACCATTTGTTACAGTAATCAAAACTCTTCAGGCACAGGTGGCAACCACAAATTGAACCAAGTATCCAAATATAAAGCTACATAATGAAAACATTGGGGCATGTTTGTCCTCTAAGGATCACGATATAGCAAACTGACCAACTAGAACCCAATTGACCACATAATACTGATCCAACCGTTCATGAAAACAAGAAGGAACATTAGAAATCTCTAATGTAAAGCCGCTGGTTTACTACAAGCCATAGAAAAATACTGCCCCCCTTTTCTTCCAAAATATTACCTAGTAAATAAGTTGAGTGAGAAGAACATAATACATCCAAAGTCCAAACTAGCCCCCAGTCCCCACTAAATTGCCTGAGAAGATCATAACTACAATACTACCATGACCACCATCTGGAAAGGATACAGAACACCTTTAAGAAAAATTGTGGTTTACACATGACTAAATGCAAACTTCAAAAATGAAGTTCAAAGTGGAAAGAAAGTTCCCAATATTGAAGCCAGCCCTCTTTTTACTCCCATAGTTTCTCCATCTACCTTGGTTTCCAATCAAAACCATCAATAAATTACAAGGAGAAAGGATGTCTTTGTTTGAAGACATAATATGCCAAAAGCTAGCAAACCATAACTGCATTAGATCACCATTCATGAGTCCAAAATTAACAAATTCACAAAGTTGTAAAATGTTATATAATATGCAACATTTGTACCTACCAGCGAGTGGTTACCCTTTTAAAGGCTAACATTCAATAAAAGCCTTCTAATAGAAAAACTGCAATAAAACCAGTAACCAAAACTAATTTTCTTAACCAACTTGACTATAATAACAAGTGACACTAAGATAGTAAGATGCAACACTTCATCATTATTAAAGATTAACTTATTACAAAGGACAAAATAAAACAAAAGTATACAAAGGCATCAATCCCATAAAAAAGGTACACTTTGCAAAGTGAAGCCTAAACAAGGGTTCAAAATCCCAAAAGGGAAGGGAATACATAAAATGGAAAAACAACCCAACTAGGGATACCTTGTATCGTTTCTTAATCTAGCCTCTCTTCAGTCAAACAGTCATATTTACTGTAACTTTCTATCCAGTTGCTACTACCTAACAGTCATATGTAAAATGTTGCATTGAAAGTTAACAGAGGGCAAGATAATTCACAAGTCACATCAACAAAACAGTTAAACTCTTTCACAAATAAGTTAAGCTAAAATCTATGAAGCTAATTCTTAGTTAACATAAAGATAGCCTGATGCTGAATTAACAATAATGACATGATTAACCACATAGAAAAACATAGAAAATATTGATTAAATCACCAAGCACCAGGCAAAAAATTGAAGAACCCAGATAAAATGAGTGTGTGGTAACAAGTTAACAACAAGGGTAAAGCTGTTTTAGCATACTCGCTTTCAAAAGAGACACAAAAAGACCACTAAATTCTTAAGCACACAAACTAAAAGACAGCAAGATCAAAACATTTTTTGCTGTCTGTTGTCCTGTTGACCTCATATTGTAATCTTATCTACCTCACAGTGATTATGTCATCTATCTTCAAAATCATCCGCACACACTCTGTTGCCAATGTGATGGCACTAGTGCTGACAAGCAAAGGCTGTACCACATTCTCCTCCAATATGTTCGTGATCTGTCCCTTCCTCACATTGATACCCGCATTGATCTCTCCCTGGGCGTGGCGATTCCGGAGCTCGGTAACAATGGCTATCGGGTTCAAGCCTGCATTTTCTGCCAAAGTATATGGAATAACTTCCAGAGCCTCCGCAAACGAGCGGATACAGTGACTCTCCATCCCATGCAAGACCTTTGCCCATGCACCAAGCTGCCTCGACAGCTCTATCTCTGGTGCACCACCACCTGCAATCAAGAACCTCTTATTCACCAGACATCTGACAACACATAGGGCATCGTGTAAGCTCCGTTCAGCTTCATCAATAACCAGCAGATTTGAACCACGAACAAGCACTGTTGTCGTCCTCCCCATATCCTTAATACCTGTAATCTTCACAATTTTCCCATCCCCAAGTGAAACCTCCTCGACACAATCAGCATGCCCCAACTTCTCTTCACGGAAATGCTCTATATTGGCAATTGGTAGACAATTCAAAGTCTTCGTAATGAACTCAATCTCGTCACGCTCAACATCCTTAACCACCAAAATCTTCGCTTTAGCAAGATAATGCAACGAAAGATCTGTCACTGCATCCCTCAAAATACTCTTTTGAATCAGCAAAACATTACACCCAGTAGCTTTAATTTTCTTAATCATACCCAGGATATAATTACGCTCCTCCTTCAAAATCCTGTCCATCTGAGTGTAATCCGAAACAACGATACTCTGCTCGATGTCGGTCTTTGGTGGCGAAATCTGGAACTGGATAACAGCAATCTTTGCATTCTCGACACGCGTAGGACCACCAGCAGAATGACTAACCTTCTTATCGAACACCAGACCCTTAACAAGCTCAGTGTCATCGACAGTGCCGCCAAGCTTCTTAACAATCTTGACATCACGAAGATCGACAAGATCAGGCTTGGCGGGGTCTACAACAGAGAGAACAGCATCCACGGCGAGAGGTGCAAGAAGCGTGGAGTACTGACTGACTACTTTGCTGTTAAGCGAAGTGCTGGCAGACTTGATAAGCGACTCCCGATCAGAGAGCTCGACAGGAACGGCCATGGCCGTGAGCACATCAACGGCTTTCAGAGAGGCCTTGTGGAGAGCATCGGATATGACAGTGGGATGGATGCCATTGTTGAGGAGAGAAAGGCACTGCTTTAAGAGGGCACCGGCTATAACCACAACAGTAGTAGTTCCGTCACCAGCGACGACGTCCTGAGATTTGGAGAGCTCGACGAGCATTTTGGCAGCGGGCTGGAGGACTTCCATCTTATTGAGAATGGTGGCACCGTCATTGGTGATGATAACTTCGCCAGAGGCAGTGGAGATCATCTTGTCCATGCCTTTGGGGCCGAGACTGGTGCGGACGGCATCGGCGACTGCCCGGGCGGCGACGATGTTGGCTCGGCGGATGTCTTCTTTGCGCTTGTTGTCGACGTAGCTCTCAGTCTTGGATGAGGCAGAGCGAGGCTGTTGAACTGCAGGGGACGCCATTGGAAGCAAACTCTGAAGCTCGAAACCCTAACCCTAGACACAAAAATGCTGTTTCTGTGATCAAGGATGAAGAGAAGATGGTGGAATGTGGAAGTGTCTTAAGCTTAAAACCCTAGACCTCAAGCCCGTGCCTGAGGAAGCGTGGTCTGTGAGTCGGAACTGCTATTTGCTCAAATGAAAATGGAAACCTGAACTAACGTTGGAGCTTGAAGGGTGAGAGAGAGAGAGAGAGAGAGAGGATTCTGGAATGACTTAGGCTTGGCTTAACTCGATGGTCAGACCAGATGGACCGCAAGCAAGTTATACGGTTTGATCTGATACCGGACGACCAGAATGATCCCGAAGTAAGATCGATCGTCTGACTCTCAAAATCTCCGTGATAGACCATTAGCTGATTAGTATGAGTATCACGACTGAAAATGTAAATAGACGAAACGAGGGAAAAGTCGAAACAAAAATAAATCAGATTTTGCATTCAAATTTATTTGCATTTTTATACTTTTGCACCAGTACAAATAAAATTGTAGTGAGGACCTTTCAGGTAAATCCTAAGTTGGCAAACATAAGCCTAGCTTGAGGTAAACCCTAAAACAATTCAGCCCAAGCTCATGTTAGTTAGATTTTAGTTGGGCTTGGCGGGGTTTACGTACCCAACCGGTCACACTAGGCCTTTACCTGGGCTTTGTCAGGCCCGAATAATTAATTCGGCCCGTCAAAATAGCCCACCGTACAGCTCTCAAAAGATCCAACTTTCTTCCCACTACGGAGGAAGAAGCTCTCGTGCTTCTCCACCTCCGCCACCACCGCACCACCACCACCACCACCACCGCACCACCACCACAACAGAAGGACAACTTCTTTTCATTTCCCATCTCTCTCTTAACCCAATTCAAAATTCCTAAAAGAAAAACGAAAGAAGAGGGAAAGAAAAGCGGAAAATGTCGCTTGGAGAACTCTACGTTTTACCAAACATCTGAAATCACAGTCATAACATGCCCTGCTTCGCTTTTATGCGAGGCTGCCTCAGGAACGATCTTTACTTGACCATGCATACTGAGACCAACGGTTCTGTAATTCGCAGTCCGTTCATACCCCAGAAACCCTACAGCCTTCAGAACTATACTCTTTACCGCCATGAAAGACCGAGCCCTAGCTTTCGGTACTGTTTGCGCTCCCCAGCGCTTGAGGTCCGTGATAACTTCTTCGGCTTCTTCTGGAGTCTCCACTCATTCTCTGGACTTCGATTGGCGGGAGAATCAAGGTCTCCTTTTGAGCCCTAGGAGCACTAATTTTCCCTACTTGCAACCACAACGGCAGAATATGCAGTATGGCCGGTATGCATATGATGATTACTCGGAAGATGACTCTGATCAGGACTTCCAGTCAGCTTCTTCGCAAAAGGTAATTTATTTTTTTTTTGAGTAATTTAGGGTGCATTTTCGGTTGAATTTCCCTCATTTTTGTAGCGTTGTGGAACCTGGGTTGAGAACGCCGGAGATGAACCGCAACCAATAATTAGCATGAGTTGTGCAATAGCCTAAAATACAAAATTGCCAGCGCCAGGCAAATTGTTTTAATTCTTATTGTGGTCGTGACATACTTGGTTCATGTCAGAAGCCCCCTTCCCCCTCCAATTGGGGGTATACCATACTCACTTCCTGCTCATTGTTTCTTCTGGAGATTGGAAAGGGGTAATTCTGCGACGCCAAAATTTTCCAATGATGAGAAGGCAAGAGCTGAGGTCGAAAGGGCTTATATTTTGATTTTGCACAGCGTTGGCATAAGTGCTTCGTAAGAAGTTCATGATCTTATTGATTGGAGTGGAGGAGATGATGGCTTGTTATAATGATAGTACCAGAGGATTTTGATGGGTTTCTTGGGTTTCAATCTTTCCGTTTTTGTGCTCTCATATTTTGATGTGAGAGATGTTGGTTTGGATAAGGTCGGTTGAATAGAAATCCTGCAAGTTATATCGGGTGGGCTGGACTTTTTAGGGTTACAGCAGTTTGTGACCAAACTTAAGACAAGGCAACAGTAGATGTTCCACTTACTGTCCTTGTTTTTAACTGTAACAACAATTAATTCTCAAAGTGGCTTCAAAAAAAAAAAAAAAAAGAAAAGAAAAAGGTCATTGTCAACACCTGAAACTTCCAATTGGCATAGAAATAGAACAGTGAAAATTTTCTAGAGAAAGCAGCTGGAATTGGGTCTGATCAAATGGTTAAGGGGAAATGGTAAGTAGTTAGAATATCAGTTCAATTCCGCATTATGAAAAGGGAGTTAGAATGATACAATCCAATGGCCATCTAGAAGGACTAAAGAGCGTTTCAGAATATTCAGTAGAAGAATCTAGCCTCTCTTTTTAAGCTTGGAAGCCTTGGATCAATTCTAACCAACTGCAGCACAAGGCTTTAATGACTTCTCAACATCAAGATTGTGCTTACACATGTAACCATACTACAAAAAATAGTATAAGCTTAACTTTAAACTAATGCGGAATTGAACTTCAGCAGCATCTGTAGGGAATATGAAGAACCATTTGTAGACAAAGAAAGTATGATCTGTAGAAGGAAGAAATAAGATGAAGTGGGGTATTGATTTAAGAATTTAAGAATCAAACAATTCTAAATTCTAAGAAGAAAATAAGATGAAGTAGGGTATTAGTTTAATAATTTAAGAACCAGATAATTCTAAATTCAAGAAAGAAAATGCATAATAGAGAAAGCAAGGAATCATTGGCTCAAGTTTTGCAGGCACCAACCTATGGAGGATCTTGTATGAATCAATGTCTACCAGAGTTTTGAAGGAATAAACCTTAAAGTATCTTGAAGGTTGAAACTATTGCCAAAGAGGGGAAAAGGACTGGAGTTGGGATGTGAAAAGCTAAGGAAATGGAATCACAAGGTTGATAATAAATAGAAGGGGACTTAAAAGTAGTCATTGGCTGGCTGAAAAAAAGAAAAGGGGTATTATGACACTTCAGAAATGAATTTAGGTGGTTCAAGATGCTGTCAAGACATGCAAATTCAGTTAAGATGGGTTAGGAGGTCTGCTAATAGTCTGGCGGATGGATTAGCTAAATAAGGAGTGAATAGACAACATTTGTTTTGGGCTTAATGTTAATTGGGTGGTGGGACTCTTTGTTGTAATGGGTATGAGTTACTGATCAAGAAAAAAAAAGGACCAGAGTTTATTACAAATTTGAGATGTTCTTTTATAACTGCCTCATGGTCATTAAAGACTCACCTTCCTAATTTATAATCTCGTTAACACTCTTAACATCATTTAGATATGTGGGAAGAATAAAGTGCTACCAAAAATATGCAAACCATTCAATAAGAAAGCTTCTTTTGCTTTACAGTTTTTAGTAAACCATTAAGTTGAAAATCTTGTCAAAGCAATTGCCAAAACTTGTAAGCTTTAGTTCAGAATCTCAAATAATTAACTTAAAAGTTCGAATTGGTTTTTGTCTTTGTTTGGGTGTAGGTGGACTCCCCCGGCTAATGTTCAGAGTCTGTTTATCTCTACTTTCTTTAGGTAGCCTAAGAAAAGAGGAAGAGTGTTGTGGAGATGTGTAAGAGCTGTTTCCAGAATTTTCTCAGAAAAGGAAAGAAGCAAAGAGGAAATTATTGAGACCATTCTGATTAGAGTGGTTCACTGGGTGAAGACTTTGGAGCTTTTTGCTGACTTCTCTTCGGTTGATATTATGATTAGCTGGAAGGAAGTGGCTAATTCCGATTGTCATAAGACTGATGTAAGCCCTCTTTGGACTCCACCAGATAATGATTTTATCAAGTTAAATGTTGATAGGAGTAGCACAGGTAACCCAGGTCCTTATGGTATTGGTGGTGTGTTTAGGAATAAGGATGGAAAGGTTATCAGGTTGTTCTCAGGTCCAATTGGTTTGGGAGACTGACTAAGGGCTGAGATTCTGGCTGTTATGGAAGGTGTGAAGAGGGCAAATGATATGAATGTGAGCAAGCTGATTATAGAAGGAGATTCAAAACTGGTAATAGATTGGTTGAAAAAGGGAGGAAATGACTTCTGGATGTTCAATAGTGAGAGGAAGAAATTCAAGTGGCTGACACAAAACATGGAAGTAGAATTAAGTTGGGTTAAAAGGACTGCTAATGCTTTTGCTGATGTACTAGAAAAACAAGGGAGGGGAAGAAATCAAATGTTTTATTTACAACTGTATTATGCTTATAATTCTGGTGAAAAGAGGTAAGAAAGGTTACCTCTCTTCTATTATATATTTTTCATCTTTTTTAATGAAATTCTGTTATTGTGTATGTTGTTTATGTATGTATGTTGTTTAACCAAAACTTATAACTAAGGAGAGAATGCAATGTTGTTTAAAATAATTAAATCTTTATTTTAATAATTTGCTACAAAAATGTTATACTAATTTTGTAATTTTGTAATTTGGATTAATTATATTAATACTTTTAACAAAAATAATAGATTATTGCTAATTACTTAATAAAATAATTATTTTTCCATATTATTTGTTAGTGTTCTATTTTATTTAATTTACTTTATTAATGATTAAATGTTTCAATTTTTTTGTAAATATCACTTAAATATTTAAAATGCTTAAAAGAGCAATAAATATATAAAATTAGGCTATAGTCATAATTAAATTAATCTAAGCCCAAACTTAAGGTTTAAGACTTTGGATTAGATTTGGATTGATCCTCATCCTGACCCAACCCACCCAAGTTGCACGCATCTTAACATTCGTAATAGGATTGGACCAAACCGAGTGCAACCCATGCATGCATTATTTTTGGGTTTTTTTAACCATGTTAGGTTGAAGCCAAAGGAGCTATGAAGGATGGGGCGATGGGCTACCCCGATTGGGTAGCCTTATGAAAGTTTTGATAGTGTATTAACAATTTTTAAGGTTGCCTAGCATAGCCCACTAACCCACACCTTAACTGTAATAATATTTGTCTGGGCCTACATATATTCTTGTTTTAGTTATAAAACTATTATTTTTTTACAAATTAAAATTTTTATTTAATTCTAGTCTGGTATAAAAAATATATAACATTTATATATATTTTGTTATCTAAATATTATATATCATATATGCTTATAACTTCCAAATTGAGCTTATTAGGGGTTGCTTAGCTTGGGCCCTATCCGCTAGGGTTGTCATTGGACTCCAAGAGTTCAATACCCAATTAGATTTCAAATCCGATTAATCCAAATCTAATTTGACAGATATATATTATGTGTATACATATATGCATTTATATTTTAAAATTCAAAATCCAACATAATAATAATTAAATGTGGATGCAGATCTAAAAATTTCATAATCAGATGTTGATGTGGATGTAGCTGAATTTGATTTGAACTTGATTCATTTACAACCATACTACCTACATTATGTGTGGGCTTGGTGCATCTTTGAGCTAGACCTAACTCAAAAGAAAATAATTGTTTGAGCATGAGAATTTGTAGATTTAATCAGGTTAGGCTAAGATATAAACAATTTGCTACATTTTATTATTATTACTAGATAAAAGCTGCTAAAATTTAATATTTTTTATTAACTTTGGTATTTTTTTATTAATTTTATAGCCCTACTGGTTGCATTATGTGTGGGCATGGTGTAGATCTGAGCTAGACCTAGCTTAGAAGAAAATATTTGCTTGAGCCCAAGGTTGGGGCCGTTGGGCTAAGTTATAAATGGTCATCCTCAAGTAGGAGTCTTATGACATTATTTTAGTTATTTTTTATAATTTTTATATGGAATGCAAATGTTTATTTTATTATTTTTCATAATTTTTACTTTTTATTATTAAGTTTAATTATCCTATTAATATTAATTATATTTAAATAGAATTAAATTATATTTTAATTTTTTAATTCATGTATTACTAATTTTTATTAATTTTTCATCTTTTAATAGTTGCTAGATAAAAAGTTGCTAAATTTTATTATTTTTTTTAACTTTAGTAATTTTTATTAATTATATAGTTATTAGGTTTCGAATTATATTGGTTATTATTATTATTATTATTATTATTATTATTTATTAGTTTTAAGTTGAAGTTTAATGGATGTTTAAATGGATCATATTTAAAATAATATTTTTATTTTTGTTGTTTTATGTTTGACTACTTAATTTCAATCTATTTATATTATTTGACTTATTAATATTTTACTTTATTCTGTTGTATTATTATTCCCTCTCTCTTTCTTAAATGTATTTTTTAAATGTAATAACAGCATGCATTAAAATAAGAGGCATTGGAAATCCCAAAGCTCTCTCTCTCTCTCTCTCTCTATTCAATAGTGTACAACTTTATTTATCTAATCAAAATAGACATGATTACTTTTTTATATTTAAAAAAATAGGAAAAATGCAAAAAATAGAGAAAATAGGTAAATAGCTTATCTCAAAGGAGAGACATGCTGACATGGACCGTCCAGTTTTATTATATTGGCCATAAATAGCTCATTTCATGTTGAAAATAGTTTGATGCTGGGCATAGGGGCAGTTTGATAGCTGCTTAAGAAGCTGAATTGAATGACTTATTGCTTTGTTTTTCTAGTAAATTATTAAGGATGTTGTGAGCTCTTAATGTCAGAGGCTGAAGTTGGGTTGATAACTATATTATTGTTTAATTATTATTTTTTGATAAATGATTGAATTTTATTCAATAAAATCAATAAGATATTACAATACAGCCTTCCCAAAGGAGGGGCACAAGCTGGTACCTCTCCACAATAGCAACAATGTACTACCTCAGACTAGTAACAAAAAATTTACAAAGCTGCCCAGAATAACTGTTCCCTTGATACCCCTTGTTTAGCTAACCCATCCGCTATGGTGTTAGCTGTTCTACCCACCCACTGAAAAATAACATTCATGTTCCTTGACAACCATTTAGCTTTCCTCATAATACCCCTGTAGAACCAGATCACTGAATCTGGAATTTTTAGCCAACCCACAACAACTTTGGAGTCTCTTTAATAATCAAATTTTGAACTCCTAACTGATCTGCAACCTGAATGCCTTGTACTGCCACTAGGAGATCAGCTCTGATAGAGTCTCCTATACCTGAGAACAAAGCTAAAATGTTATTATCTTTATCTCTCAGCACCCCACCAATCCCTGAAGGCCCGGGATTTCCTTGGCTGCTACCATCAAAATTCAGCTTTGTCCAGTCTTCTGAAGGGGGTACCCACACATCTGGTACCCTGTTCTTTCTGTTATTGCTACTAGCCACAGCCCTCCAGTTCCTCCACATGTTATCAAAGGAATATAATTTGAAGGAATCTAATGATCTCAGCCAGTGGATTGCCCTGGTCAAAATACAATCCTTTACATTCTGAACATTTCTCTCCTTCTCTTGGAATATCCTCGCATTTCTTTCTTCCCAAATTGTCCACAGAGCAGCAGCTCTAATGCTCCTCCACATTGTTTTACCAGTTTTTGTGGGCCACACAAAGAAGGAAGGATCAAAGATCTGATCTATGGCTGTGGTTATATTCCATCTGCAACCAAACAAAGCAAAGATCCAACCCCAAATAGCAACAGAAAAAGGACAGGTTAAAAGTAAGGAGAGCAATCCTCACCATTAGCCCTGCAAAGTACACACCATTTAGGAGACAAATACATAGATGGCCTTCTCTTCTGCAGTAAGTCTGAAGTGTTGATTTTCCTATAGAAAACCACCCAGCAGAACATAATAATTTTAGGAGGTACAGGTTTAACCAAATCTCCTTGGCTGGGAAGCCCACTTGTCCCGAGGGAGAGCAAAGGGACTTAAAAAAGGAAGCACATGTGAAGTAACCTTTTGGGTTTGGAGACCAAAGTCTCACATCAGAACTGGAAAGGTCCAAAAAAACACTTTCAAGCAGTGACAACAGGTCTGAAACATAAGAGAGTTCATGATCCCTCAAACTCCTACGAAACCCAAAGCCCCAACTCAAGGAAGATGGAGAATTAGATGTTGGAAGAAAATGAGAAATTGTTTTACCCTTGTAGCAAGAAATGGAATAGAGAGAAGGGAAACTGTGGTAAAATTGAATTTTGATGGTAGCTGCCAAGGTAACCCAGGGCCATTGGGAATTAGGTGGGATTCTGAGAGACAAAGACAGCAATATGTTGTCTCTATTTTCAGGACCAGTGGGTGAAGGTGATTCAGTAAGGGCAGAGCTACTAGCAGCGGTACAAGGTATATAGATGGCTAGTCAAATTGGAGTGACCAGTCTGCTAGTAGAAGGGGATTCCAAGGTAGTAGTAGGCTGTCTAATCAGTCCAGAAACAGCCTTTTGGGGCTACAGGGATCTGTTAAAGAAAGTTAAATGGATGACGAGGAATATGACTGTCAGGTTTCAGTGGGTCAGAAGATTAGCAAATGCAATGGCTGATTCTTTGGCCAAGCAAGGGGTGTCAAGGGGAGATCTATTTTGGGCTACTTTGTAATTGTGTCTCAGGCCTGGGCAGTTTTGGTTTATACAGTTCAGTCCTAGGGGGGGTAACATCTCGTGCCTCCTCCTAGGCTGATTGTATTATTGATATTTGATTTAATAAAACTACTTTCATTCATAAAAAAAGGGAAACTGTCCTTAAGGGCAGAATTGCCCACCCAGATGTCTTCCCAGAACAAAACAGATGTACCAGAGTTGACATCATACCTGATACAGTTGAGGAAAAGAGGAAGAATATTCTGAATTGCTTTCCAAGGAGTTGCCAGAGTGGCTTGACGCAATACACCAGCATCCCATTCATTGCTCAAACTACCATGTATGCTAGCTATCACCTCATACCATAGTCTCTCCTGTCCATCTCCACAACCATTTTAGATCAGGAGTGATAGAATTGAGACATTTTTTTTCTTATGCTTCAGTTGATATCTTGGTATTTACCTATGTTTTTTAGTGTTATTTACTTTGTATTCCATATCAAGGAATTATTCAAGTCAATAGTAATTCTGGATTGCATTATGCGTGTGAACTTGTATTTATAGGGAAATTGTTGATAAGGTTACTTTCTTTCCTTTTGTTCCTTTAATTGGTAGAAGTGTGATTCAATTAATATAAAAAAGTATTTGGAGGGGGGGGGGGTAAAAGGCGAGGTTGCTTTCTTTGGTTGCAATTGATCTTTTGCAAAAATAGAATTTACTAGGTATTTATTTCAACAACTCAAACTAGGATTGAATTCTTTTTACCTGCAATTTTCTCTTGTCCACCATTTCTTTTGGGGCATTGTTGTTTTATATAAAGATGTATTTGTTAAACCTCTCATTCATTCCCTTACTTTGGTTTCAGAGTTCTACTCTTGATAACATTGATGAGTGGAAGTGGAAGTTAACCATGCTTGTTCGCAATAAAGATGAGCAAGAATTGGTGTCAAGGGAGAAAAAGGACAGACGTGATTTTGAGCAACTTTCAGCATTGGCTACCAGAATGAGTTTGTATTGGTATGCCTTACTGTCTACTTCATGTTACATGTCTTATATTTTTGATGGTATACTGTGTTGGATTTTGAAATAGACGTGATTTTTGCAGTCGCCAGTATGAAAAGGTAGTTGTTTTTAGTAAGGTTCCACTGCCAAACTACAGATCTGATTTGGATGACAAGCGTCCACAGAGGGAGGTATTTTCTATTAACTTGGTTCTTTTAATGCGGGGACATGTTGCGTATTTGTCTGTCTATCTGTCTAGATGACTGTACCTCTTTGCAATATGTTCACAATCAAGTTTTCTAAGTTGGTGATGGTGGCCTTTTGTGGTATTGAATAACATAGTACTCCTTCTGTCTCACAATGACTTTTCTCTTTGAGGATTCTCTTTCCCATAGATTTTGTCCAATGCCAAAATATGATTTCTGACTTTCTTATTGTTACCCTTTGTCATAGATTTTCTTCAACTTTTCCATATTCTTAGGAGTTCCACCTACACTAGTGCCAATAAGAGGGCAAGGCAATAGTGGAAAATAAATTTAAATGAATTAGACAGCAAAGTGTTAATAACTGTCTCCTTAAAATGTTTTTCTTTTTTTTTTTTTTTTCTAGAAGGTTTAGAACTTTGGGGGAAAAAAGACTGATACTTAAGGAAAAAATGGAGTTCGTGTAGGCAGGTCAGTGGAGGAGACCCTTGAAGATAGAAGCAAAAAATTTCCTGTTCGAAGAGATGAGAATCAAGKGGAAGGTAAGCCTGAAGGTAAGGGAAGCGAAAAAGGGTACAGTATTGCTGGAAGGATTAGAAGTGATCGAGTGGCTAAGAGAGTTCATAGCTGGAGCCTGTTCAAAAGGTAAGC